CGTAACTTTCACTGGTCAGAGGGAGAGCGCCGTGGAATTACGGGGAGCCGTAGTTTTCACCAATCAGAGCATGACGCAGAAGAGTTCCTAGGTTGGGTAACATTATCATAGAGTCATGGGTTATGAGTTGGGTGCTTCTTTGGGATGAGTGGTTTCAATTTCGTGGCGGTCCAGACTCTCGAGTTTGAGTTGGCTCTAGTGGTGTATTATGAAGGCGAGATGAGATTCCGAGCTCCGAGGTGGGTTCCTCGTAGAGAGGTATTGTGCGTCATCGGATGTCTTAGATCTGTGTGGGTCGGTTCGTTCGTATGGAAAGGACCTCGAGACGCTTGGAGTTAATGAGCAGTAGACGACAGAGGTCGAGGGTGAGATGTTTTCAGTTTGGATTTTAGTATTCGCTTGGGGAAAAGCGAACTTCGTGACTCGTGTGTCACAATGGGCCGAGGTAGTTGTTGAGAGAAGGAAGTCAGTGAGACACTTTGAGACATGTTATGGATAACCTATGGAGCTTCATGATTGTAGAAGTCAGAGGATATTGTTGAGTAAGCATGATCTTGTCTTGTGTTCAAGTACAGGGTATCGAGAGTTCATTGTTCGGATAGGTTCTGATTGAAGCTTAGTGGATGGATCCCTGGTGTAATGTGGTCCTTTCATTTTGGAGTATGATTTGGATTGAGTAATATATCTGGTTTTAGCGATCAGAAGCCTATGTTGGGGCGTTGACTTGTTTATCAGCCACGACGAAAGGATCAGAGGGATAGTGAGTTATCGGGGTCTATTATGTGAGGAGCAGATACCATGGTGATATCTTGAGAGGGTAGCTAGCAGGGAGGCAGACTACTAGAGTTTCCAGATTCTGGGGAGCCAGAGGTGGTATCGTAGCGACAGTTGGGTCTGTCCTTTTCTGGGTTTGGGAGTTTGGGATCAGGTATCATTGGAGGAAGATAGTTGTGTGGTATGAAGTCCTCTTGGGTAGTGCTTTCGGACTTTTGGTTTTTGAGCTGTGTGATACTAGAGAGCGATTTCGAGGGCGAAATCTAATTCAAGTGGGGGAGAATTGTAACACCCGAATTTCCAGGCATATAATTTTAATTATTTAATTTAAGAATTTCTGAAGGGACTCGATGAGTTGGTGTCTCAACTCGTCGAGTAGGGTCGCGACTGGTGACGTGGATTAATGAGTGGACTCGACGAGTCGATGAGCCGACTCGACGAGTCAGCGCTGCCGATGGAAACCCTAATTTTCTCGGGCCTGGGCCTATTTAAAGGCACTTATAGCCTCCATATCACCCCCATCGGTGTTCATTCACCCAATGAGAGTAACCCTAGCGTTTATTGTGAGCAAGAGAGGGAAGGAGGCTCATTTGAAGTCATTTCCTTAAAAGGAAGAGCAAGGTTCTTCAAGGAATCAAGGAGGAGAGCTTGTGGATCTGTTTCCTTTTCATCTCAAGCTTCAGATCTAGGTATAAAGTTCTTACCTTCTTTGTTGATTGATTAGATTCCATGTTGGTGAGAATTAGGGCTTGCATCACCTTTTGATGGGGCTTTGGGTGCATCAAACCTCCTTTGTGAGCTTGTGCTATAGATTTGGACCTTGTGAGGTCCCGAGAGTCCGAAAGTGTGAAGCCATGGTTGAGCAACCATGGAGTTTTGAAGCTAGGAAGCATTAATGGAGTTTTGATGGCATATAGAACAATATATACCATGCATGGACACCAAGATCAGACCTTTACGTGACTTCTGAGTGCTAGGAGGGTAGATCTATGAGTTGGAGTTACAGATCTCACCTCAGTCGATCAAATGAGAGATCCGTTTGAGACAACTCGTCGAGTCTATGGGATGACTTGACGAGTCGTGTCAGGTCTGACCCAGTACCCTTGACCCAGTAATAACTCGTTGAGGTTGGGGGTCAACTCGACGAGATGAGTAAACCCTAGGAAGAAATCTGAGATACGAGTGGACTCGGCGAGTCACATGGGTGCACTCGGCGAGTCTGGTCGAATTGGGCTGTTGACTCATTTTGCCTTCTGTTGACTTCATGAGTGGGTCAATTAGGAGCATGTAGGACCATAGAGGGGTAAAATGGTCTTTTACCCATCCCGAGGGTTGGGAAGCGAATAAGAGGACTTAGGTGTGAATGAGTAAAAGATGAATAATGATTGAGATGCTTGTCTAATGTGTTAGGCGAAGGCTAGCTCAGGATTTCGAGTGCTTGTCTATTACCTACTAGCTGCGAGGTGAGTCTTCTCACTATACTTACCTTGAGTGGTAACTTACGTATGACCAGAGGGTCTTATGTGTATGTGCTGTGTATTGAGATATCTTGCTATTTGTTTTGTGATATGCTTACTGTGTATTATATTGAGATGCTGAGTTGAGGGACCAGAGGGTCCATCCGAGTTGTAGGACCGGAGGGTCCCACTGAGACACATTGACCGGATGGTCTTATTGAGTTATAGCCTCGAGTGGCTAATGTGTTGTGTGGTATTTTGGGGAACTCACTAAGCTTCGTGCTTACCGTGTTATGTGTTATGTGTTTCAGGTTTTCTCAGGATCGCGGGAAGGCACCGGCTTGATTTTACACACACCAGTGAAAGAGTTATGTTTTGAAGATCCTGGATTTTAATCAAACAATTATGGAGATGTGAATTGTAAAATAAATAAATGATATTTATGTGAAATATGTTATTAGAAACATGCGATTATAAATGAAAATTTTATTTGAAATTTTACGGTGTTACAAATTGCAAACCATAAAATCAAACGAATCAATTCTTTTTACCAATTGAAACAAACAAATGCAATGAAATACAAATAATAGAAATCGATTAGACAATTGAATTTTTACCTTAGGTGAAGGTATGTCAGACGAATTGGAAGTCATAGGATCGATTGAAGCAACTGTTTTTACCAATTGAAAGCTGTAAACATCTAACAGCGAACCATCAATTTATAGGCGGATGAGGAACACCTTATGCAGCAGTTACCGACATGGACGCAAACGTGGGTAGAGACGAAATCGTGGGTAGAAGAAGCAGGAGCCGATGGAATGAACTGCAAACAACCGCCAAATTGGAGTTTATGCGGCTCACATTGAAAGTTCGTGGAGTTTAAACGGCTCAGATTTGGACGATGGTTGTTAGACTCACCGTCGTCAATAGTATTAATAATTACATTATGTAAAACTTAAAAAGTAATAAAATGATGTTTTTATACTTTAATTTTTTTTTATATATAAAATAGAAAACGAAAATATTTAATTAAGTATCGTAGTTTGACTATTATAAATAAAGTCTAGACAACAAAACTTTTATATATATATATATATATATATATATATATATATATATATATATATATATATATATATATATATATTTAAAAATACATAATAACAAAATTGTGAAAAAATTAAGGAAATTTTTTAAAAGAAATTTGAATTAAAAAAAAAAGTAAAAAAGAGGACCAAAAATGTAAAAAAGAAAAAGCAAAAGACTAACATTGTAATATCTCAAATGGTTTTTTATGTAAAATTTCACAAATGGTCCTTAAACAAGTTTCACAAAATGACAGAAATAATCCTTATCCAAAATTCTTTCAACTTAACGGATCAATCTAACGGACATCCACCGTAAGCACGTTTATATGTAAAGTTTGCTACTTAGGTTTCATCTCAGGGAAAAAAGTTTCACAGAGACCATATTAGGGAAAAATTGTAATGTTAAAGGACCATTCGTGAATTTTTTTTGTGTATTTATGAATTTTTTATTATAAAAAAAACATCTTATTTAATTAATAAGAAATTAGATAAATAGTACAAGTTTATTCAATTTATCTTTGTATTATATGTCTTGCAACATTAGATAAATAGTACAAGTTTATTCAATTTATCTTTGTATTATATGTCTTGCAACATAAGGATAATGATAATGATAATAACATGTTACCCGTTAACGAAAATGAGCACATGAAAATAGAATAGTTTCCCAACTCAAATATAACAAAATTTTCCTTCTAGTACTATCATACTGATATGGATATATATAAATAATCATATGAATCAAGTACATTATGCATAAATTGAAATGCCACAATTTGTCATAAGCCAATGCTACTTTTCATGGTCAACCCGACAAGCAAATCTCTAAAATCCCCCATTGGAATGCTCTCTATTATGGCGTCTCTCAAATCTATCTCATATATGTTCTTGTATAATTTTCTTATATTCTTTATATCATTCTCACTTTGACTCATGATTATACCTTCCAAGCTGCTCTCATCCTTACTTTTTCCTTTCATGCTTGCTTCTAGTGTCTGAAATTAAAGTAAACAACTTAAAAAAACCATAAATATAAAAGATACTAATTAAGATCATTTGTTGTTATACGTTATTTCATTAGATATTATATATCGAATAAACCAAGGAATTAGGATTACTTGAAGAAATATAAAGTCGTGAATCTAAATCTTCATTATATTATTATACAGTTATTTAATTCCACGTTTTGATGTGATATAAGTTAGTTTAATATAATTCCACCTTTGCATAATATTTTGGAGGATTTTTTAAGAATTTCACCACAAATGGTAAGGCCTCTTCAAACTCGCCATGATATTTATTTTTGAAATGTTGCAATAAAAAACAGATTAATTATTTACCATGTTCGAATCAATTTATATAGTAACAGAAATTATCATGTGAAATAGTAGTCAAATGTTTGACCTTTGTATAGGAATGACCATAAATATGCTTATATATTGAAAAAGTGAGTTTGAGTTGTGGAATGCTTCTTTTACTTAGGATTTCAAGCACAACTCCCTCATCAATCTTGAACCCTCCACTTGTTGCTTCTCCTGTTTGGAATAGTCTTTGGGCGTCACACTTGCCAATGTGTACACTAACATCTGCACTAGGAGCCTTTTGTGATGCACTCAATGCCACTAAAATCTACAAAAAAAAAAAAAAAAAAAAAAAAAAAAAAAAAAAAACACTTCTAATCAATCATTTCCCACATGGGTTTGTGTACTCTTATGTATAGAGTTGTACTATATTGATATGTATATAACTATTCATTCAGAGTACAAATACTCACGCACAAGAAAGAAATATCAAGTTTTGTTGGGAAATTTAGAGTTTGTAGTGGAGATCTGGATACCGACTTGGATCGTGATATCATTTTCCGAACTGATATTTCTACCCTATGTCTGGGTTACAAGAAATTCAGCCTAGGATAATCCAAGTGGACACTTACGACTCTAGGCACAGAAATCGTAAGCCAATATGCTAGAGCATTCTGTGAAAGTATGATCAAACGAGAGCTTAAGATCGTTACCCTCTTCTGAAAAGAAGAACCGTTTATATAATAAACGATATTAGGGTTTTATTAGGTTGGGTCGTCATTAGTTGCTTTGGAAGCAAGTAATGTTAATCCGGATTTAATGATGATTTAGGGTTACCAAAACTAACGAGTTTCGTTAGTTTTACCATAAACACCTTCAAGAAATTGAACTTTCCACTTAGCAAGAAACTTGTTAAGGGGAACAGGCCCGAGCCCAGATGTGTGTCTGCCACATGGGCATTGACCTTGTTGACCTTTCTGAACAATGTGAATAAAGAAATTTGGCATTAGGGCACCAGACCTCATTCATGGTATAAGTTGCTCCTGATACCCAAATCCAGACTATACAAGATTTAACAAAAAAATAAATTTTTTAGTTAGAAATATACACTTATCGGTTTAAAAGTAGCAAAAACAATACTTTTAATGTTCAGATGCCAAGTCAATTCCCCATTCTACCTTATTCTCAAACTTGTGAAGGTAGTGATGGTATGTAAAGGAAAATGTCTTCCTTGTATCCTGTCCAATGCTTTCTACAGTGATGGAGAGATTTAATAAAAAAACCATGGTAAAATTAGAAATAGAAAATGTATAGGTTGTTTTTGGAGAATTAGAAATTTAGAATAGATAGAAACAGTACCTATCATAATCCCAAAATCCAGTTTCAAATTATACAGAACAATATAGCTTGTTACCAGACCTATACCAAACTATTTTGTCGAGTACCCCAACCATATTCAACTTTGAATCACCAAGATTATATATAATTCTATCAGCTCCCACAATTACTTCAAGTGCAAGAACGTGTGCACTTCTCACATCCCAGTTTTTGTTGTAGACACACCCAAAGATCTGAAACAAACAACATATATGACAAGTTAACTGAAGAGTTAAATAAGTAATACATACTTTAAAAGGAAGACATTTCCATTGTGTAGTGACCAAGTGTAGGGTGGCAAGTGGTATGCGAGTGTACTTTCGTATTCTTATGCAAAAGTGCATCAAGAAGCTTTTGTATTCTAGCGATTTAATGGATTTCCTTGTAGACAATGAGTGATCATAACTTATAAAATTTACTAAGTAGTCGGAATTTGTTAACTTAACTTAGAGATTTAACTTTATATATTATGTTTATGTATTATTAAATAAATTATACAAAATACATTGCGCATTATCAAATAAATTATATACAAAATACATCAATAAATCAAAAGGAGTAAAAAACATGTAAATCAAAACTAGATCAAGAAAATGTTAGGTATGAAGTATGAATGGTTGTGTGTGATGATAGTGTAATCCTCAAAGGACAGAATAAAGGTACCTTTAGTTGAGAAAAAGTGAGATGATGTGTACATGGAAATGAAATAACATACATAGTTAAAAGTTGAATAATCTATTTTCTAGTCAAACGTGTAAACTGCAACCCTAATGATCTTTTCTTTTTAAACTTTTAAAACAACATTACTTGTATAATGTATTTAATATTAAATATAAAAAGCATGGCATGGGTTTTACGTGCACATGGATGACAAAACCTTCTCTTTCTTGTGTTTATTATGATCTTAGTTTAGTTTTTGAGGGTGGAGTTCTAAGATAAACCCGCACTGAACCAACTTTGATCGGTTTTTGCCAAATTAAAAACCACACCATCGATTTTTATATCATTAATTTCAGTTTGTTATGGTTTATTCAATTTCTTTTTATCGATTCAATTTTTGCTTACAACTAGATAATATCTTTGAGCAAATTAAATGTATGAGATATTTGGTTACCCAATACCCAGATTTGCACAATAAGTCTCAATACTGACATCATAATGATATTAGAACAAACAAGATAATTTTATGATCATTATGTTTGGTTAGCCTATATAAATGGAATAAATTTTTTATATTATAAATACATAGAATATGTAAATTTAACAGACTTCTATTTATAAAAAAAATCAAAACATTATTTACAACAAAAATAGAATTACAAATAGTCAACTAAAACTAAACTGCTATACTTAGGAGAGGCCAAAAGCAGTCTTGACCAAAAGTCAAAATAATACCAACATCAACCTAAAACAGAAATACAGATTTTTTATTTCTTGGTCTTTACGAGTGCATGTATTACCCTTTTGTCATATTACCATTTTACCCTTATTTTTCCACTTTTTAATAAATTATATTACTATTTAGACCAAACGCCGCCGTCTCTGTTTCGTGAGCCAATGAAAACTTCACTGGAGGGGAGTCATCTGAAGGGGGTGGCGGTGGATGGGGAATCACTGAAGGGTGGGGGTGGGTAAAATGGTAATTTGTAAATTTGTCTGGTAATAAAAACTGTAGAAATCATGGAAAATAGTAATTTGACAAAAGGTTAACAGATTGCTACTAATGATATTAGGCACAAAGACCAAAAGTTTTGTGAATACCTGAAATAGAAATCAAAGTTGATAAAATAGATCTTTTTTGGATCCAAATAAAAAAAGTGCAAACCACAAGAACTTATCATAGTAATATAGTAGTAAATAGTAATTTGACAAAAGGTTAACAGATTGCTACACATGCATATTTATGTATGTATGTATGTATGCACATAGAGATGCAAAATAACGCACATTGATTTAACTGATAAATTAATAAAAGAACTTAACAGGGTGAAGAAATAAGTTACCTGGTTGACTTACTAACATTTGTGCATGCTTATCATTTGGATCAGTTGTGGGGTCACCTTCTGCATTTATACACATAATCTCAATCACTCTGCTCACAACAAGATCTTCAAGATCATTATACACCTCAAAATGTTGGTATTTTTTCACTCTAATCAATGACAGGTGTCCTCCTGCTTCTTCTAAGAATCTATCCCACATTTCACCATATTAGGTAGCAACTCATGTACCGAATGAAGATCACCCACAAAGTGAAAAGCATACATCAACACTGTATAAACCCTAATATCAGGAATCACACCATTGTTAATCATCATCCTGAAAAAACCCTTTGCTTCATATGTCAAACATCTTTTACACAACCTATTAATCACAGCACTGTAATCCCTAACACTCACTTCAAACCCCATTTCCACCATTTCAGAGAACACCACCTTTGCTTGATCCACATCACCCTTTACACAATGTGCTTTAATAAGAATCGTATAAGCAGCCTTCTTTAATTCAAAATTATGCTCCTTTAAATACAATAATAACTTATCAGCATCATGTAAATCACCATACACACATAACCCATTCATAAGAATGTTATATGTAACTGCATCAGGCTTAAGATTATGTGACATCATTTCATCATGTAACTCAAACGCCTTTTCAATTTCTCGAGCCTTACAGAAAGATTGAATCAGAATGTTGTATGAAACTTCATCAGGAAAAATCCCATGTGAGAACATATGATTAATCTGTAACAGAGATTCTTGAAGCTTTTTTTGTTTACAAAGACTTTTTATGATTACAGTGTATGTGACATGAGTTGGTTCTACACCATTACTTTCCATTTCCTTCTTCATATCAAACACTTTTTGCATATTTCCTTCTTCACAAAAAACGTTCATAAGAGTGGTGTATGTTACAGCATTAGGTACTAATCCATGATCCCCGATGTTATGAAATGACCTCATTGCCCCTATTAAATCTCTAGCTTTACAGAATCCATATATCAAAGAATTAAACGTGACAATAGTGGGATTGATTCCTCTCTCTGTTATTTGATCAAACAATTGTATACTCTCATGATTCATACCGAGTTTTGCATACTTATTGATCATAATATTGTAAAGAACAATATCTTGAATATCATCACCACTAGTTAACATATCAAAGTGCTTTCTTGCTTCAAAGAGTGATCCTCTCCCACAAAAGCCCAATAAAACAGCTCTATGAGTGAAAACATTAGGAAAGATTCTATTGTTGCACATTTCCATGTATACTTGAATTGCTTTTTGAATCTCCCCTTGTTTGCAAAAACCATGAATGATGACAGAATACATAACAACATCAGGTTTTAAACCCTCTATTTCCATCTCATAAAGCAAACATAAAGCTTCATCAACACGCCCAATCTTACATAAACTACTAACCAAAACACTATATGAGATAAAGTTTACTTGATACCCATAAGAAACCATTTCATTTTTCAAGTTCATGCTTTCATCAACTTTTCCTTCTTGACAATTCCCACATATGAGTAATGTATATGTGATACTATTAGGGTTCAACCCTTTTGATAATGTTTCTTGAATCATCTTTGATGCCCCATTTATCTTACCAAGAACATGAAAACCTTTAGCAAGTGTGTTGTATGTTACTGAATCAGGGTTGACTCCATGTTTGACCATGTCATTAGTCAACTTCAATGCATCTTGAATAGAACCTGCGATACATAGTCCATTGATAAGAATATTGTAACTGTATGCATCGGGTTTTACTCCAAATTTCAACATCAAACAGAAAATTGATTGAGCAATATCTAGAAATCCCATTTTGGAGAAACTTGACATGACTGTGTTAAATGAAGCAACATGAGGTGAGGAATCTTTGACATGAAGAAGGGTTATTGCTTCTTGCATTAAGGATTGCTTACATAAACCATCTACAAGGATGGAATTTGTTTGTTTGGTTTCTTGGATTCCAGTCTCTTTGATGTCATTGTACACATCCCACATGCTTTCAGAGTGTCTTAGGTTGTGCAATAAGCTGTTGTAGGTTAATATTGAAGGTTGAATGTTGAAATCTTTCATTTTGGCTATAATGCAAAGGGCATCATGAACCATGTTGGATCTAGAGTAAGCAAATGCAAGCATGTCCCAAACAATTGCATTTGATTTCCAATTCTTGAAGTCAACTGAAAGAGGCTCACAAAGTGAAGGCCCAGAACCAGAGCCTATCATCAGAAGAAACAATAAACATGCATTTTGATTTCCATGTATAAGGATGTAAACTAACAAGCTTTCTTATGATCTAATAATATATAAAATTCCATAATCTCGAATTCCAAAGTGATTTCTAACTATTTTTATGTACAGAGCAATAGAGAAAGTTCAAAAAAAATACCTTCTTCTTGAAGCATTTGCTTGAAGTTAGAACGCAGCAACCTAAGCCTTCGTTGACTAGCCAGCACATGAGCAATAACGAGCTGAGAAACTCTCGAATGCTTAAACCGATACTCATTCTTCAATAATTCAAACAACTCGACAGCAGAATCTGGATCGTCGTTTCGCAAGTGATCTATAATTTCATCATCAACCTGAGTGGAATTCAGGGGTTTAAACCGATGTTTCACACCGAGTAATTTGACACCAGAGCTACCCGATAGTTTAAGTTTAAACAGGGAGAGGATACCAGAAGGAAAGGAACCGTTTGCAGCTGGTGAAGTGGTTGAAGGTTCTAATTCAAGGGATTCCGCAGATAATAATGATGAACATTTAGTTAAAATGAGGGTTGAAGAACTTAACCAAGGAAAAGGAAGACGAAAAAGCGATTGACATTGATGTCCAATACGATTGAGCATGAATCGATTGTGGTTCAGTCGAAACGGGGTATTTCTGCCGCCAATCGCATCATAGGCACCGACAATCTGCGAATGAATCAACAAAGAATTAGAATTAGGTGAAGGAATTGCAATTGGAATTGGAAAAGGAATCTCTAGGAATTTGAATCCAATTTAATATCTCGGTTGGCAGAATTTGAATCCGATTCAATATCCTCTTTGTTTGCTTGGCAGCGAATTGTTTGGTTGGGAGCGAATAGAATTGGAATTAATTCCTTTGGTTCCCATAAATTGGAAATGAAATTTATATAAAATGATAGAATTGTTCTTTTTGTCTATTTATTTTCTTTTTTAACTTATAAGTAAAGATACATTATAATAAATTATAAAAGTAGCAAAATTTTTATTTAATTGATTGAGTGTTCGTGTCAATATAATACGGAAACCATGCAAAAAACTTCATAACTTAAAATCCTTTCAATACACGTCCCAATAACGTTACCATAAAAACATAACTTAAAAGCTATCACCTTTATCACGGTATATATATATATATATATATATATATATATATATATATATTCTGATTTCAGATACCATTGATATCAAAACAACAAAATGGTATATTCTGATATCATGTACAACAATTATTTAAGCAAATTATTTTCACATAAGAAAATGAAACCACAACAGAATTTCTGTTCTATCGATTCAGAAAAATGTTATTAGCAACCATACTTGATACAATGCATTAGACAAATAAGTTTGTATGACCAAGAACTCCCTAAATCAGTATTTAAACTATGACAAACTTGAAAGATTTAGAAAAAAAGGATACTTCTGGTAAGGGTAAACATCATACTACTTTTTGTTATGTTAAATAATCAAATTATGCATATTAACCAATCAATCGCGATCAAGAGCAAGAACAAAGTGAGAATTCGAGCACTTCTCACTAACTCATTGGTAAGTATGGAAGTATGGTTCAGATCCATTCAGTGTTATCGATAGCGATAGTGAGGTAATAGTGACAACCTACCTATATGCTACGTAGCGATAGCGATGAAATCTATTAAAAAACTAATACTAGTTTTACCTACACCTATTTAACAGTTATAGCTAATAAATAAGCTAAGCACCAATATTATTTGCTCAAAAAAGTTCTAAAACATGAATATATGACAAAACAAAAGTGTTATTTTGAGACTCTAAAATAGGATTCACAAGTTAAAGTGCCAATGAGCTTATGAGCACGAAGTCAAACATCAGAATTCACAAAACTCACTATAGAAACAAAATAACGGAATCAAACGCATAAGATTTTGGAAACAACGAGCATGAACAATGAGAAAACTCACTGTAGTTTTCTTCCTTATTCAATTCTTCCTTACTGAGAAAGAACTGTAGAATAGGAATATAAGAATGAAATATATAATCAATTGACTCTATTGGAAGCATTATTTGAAGTATTAGATAAGAAATCATAGAGTCGGATGTGAGCGTCGCTGGTTATCAGTCAGTTGAGATGGTTTTCCCGCCAATCTCCAAGTCGACGATTGATTCTCCAAATTGGCAATCCCAAACGCCAAATTGGCGAACTCAATTCCGATCGCTAAAAACATGTTTCAACTATCAAATTTGCAATACGGGAAAAAAACATCGCTACGTCGTTATTTCCTCGCTACATATCACATAACGACATACCATCACATCGCCTAGCTAATCGCTATAGCAAATCGCTATTGACAACACTGGATCCATTCAACACAGTCACGTAAAGTTTCTCCAAAATGGGATTTGTAGATATTGATCAATCGCTTTTTTGGTTGATGTTGAAATTTGGAGTAAAACCCGATGCATACAGTTACAATATTCTTATCAATGGACTATGTATCGTGGGTTCTATTCAAGATGCATTGAAGTTGACTAATGACATGGTCAAACATGGAGTCAACCCTGATTCAGTCATTTACACGAATTCCAATTCCAATTTCTATCATTTTAAGCAAAATGGCATGGTCAAAAATGGAGTCAACCTTGATTCTGTCATTTTAAGCAAAATAGACAAAAAGGGCAATTCTGTTATTTTGCACGAATTTCTATTCCAATTTCTACGAACCAAACAGAATTTGGAATTAATTCCAATTTCGTTTCCTGCCAACCAAAAAGGATATGGAATTGGAATCAAATTCATGACAGATTCCTTTTTCAATTCCAATTCAAATTCCTTCAACAAAATTCTACGAACCAAACACCACCTTAGGTGCTGTTTGGTTGGCAGGAAATGGAATTGGAATTAATTCCAGAGTCTGTTTAGTTCGCAGGAAACGGAATTGTAATTCATGTAAAATGACAAATTTGCCTTTTTGTCTGTTTTGCTTAATTTTACTTTGTTTTCTACGTTATATGTAAACATATATAAATTATTAAAATAGTGAAATTTTAATTTATTGATTGAACATTCATGTTAACATATTATGAAAATTATGTTAATAAACATCATAACTTAAAGTCATTCCACTTTGCATCATAATAACGTCACCAAAAAGCATAACAATATTTCGATCAACATCCTAATAGACATCCCAAAAGAACTTAAAAATCGAAAATACGAATTAACATCCTAATTTATAATACTACCCTTCCAAAATGTATTTGAACCAAACCTCTCTATCACCTTCTTCAATTTGCCAAAAGTTTTGTACGTTTATAGGATCACTTCTTATCTTGGTCAAAGCTTTGAATGTAATTTGCAACAAGTAAACATCACCATTCATTTTCACAAATGTTGATGTTAAAAAAATGAACAAAAACAGGAAGCAATTGGAATTCATGTAAACAGAAAGATTATTGTTACAAAACAACATGGTTTTCACAAAACAGAAAAAAAAAATTGAATAAGCATTCATCTTCACAAAAATCGATTTTCAGAAAGATAATTAACAAATTTGGTTTTCACTGAAATTGGTTTCACATATAAATAAACATCGATCTTCACAGATAAATACCAAATTCGACATTCACATATTCAATTTTCGTATATATGGATTACACAGCAAAAAAACGGGGTTCAATAGTTGTAGTGATATATTGATTTCACAGCAACAAGTTCGAAGTTGACATATCGATTTCACAGTATGAACAGGAAAGAGAGACACCGAGATTTTTTACAGCGCCAAAGAGCGAGAGTGAGATACATGTTTTTTAGATCGATAGTTGTAGTAATGCACATACCTGGCAAATTAATGGAGAAGGCGAGTTGAGTGTGATGTAGGCTGCAATTCGATTTTGACGAATAGATGAGATGAAGAGTCGATCCGATTTTGATGAATAGGAGAAGTGAGTTTGGTGTCGGCGCTTAGTGCTTATTTTTGAAATGATTTTTAGATTTTGGCTTTTTCAAAAAGTCAAAAGTTTAAAAAGTTGTTTGGTAACTTCAAAAGATCTTTTAAAAGAAGAAAAATGAAGTGGTTAAGAAGTCACGGATATGTGACTTTTACCAACTTTTGGTTTTTTCCCTTTGCACCCTCAAAAGTTTATACAAACACATTTTAAACTATCTTTTGAAAAAAGACATAATCAAAAAGTTCTTTTCTAAAAAGGACTTTTTAGTTTAAAAAGCTATCCCAAACACCCTAGAAATAAGCTATAAGGTTTAAGCAAGAGGCGATGCGGTGTAAGAAAGCAGTTTTATAAAAGTGTTTGGATTAGAAATAAGCTATAAGTTTTAAGCAAGGGGAGAAGCTTTTCAAAAGTAGCTTATTTAGCTTCTCCCCACCACAATACGCTGATATTTAATGTTTCATATCCAAACACTTAAATTTAGCGTATAACGGTGGGGATAAACAATAAGCTATATATAAGCTCTCTCTTTTTTCCCTATCCAAACACCCTCCGAGTTTGATTTGTTGAATACGTGAGATGATAAGGTTTTGGTTTTTAGAATGGTTTTGTTAAAATAAAAGGGGGGTATAATGGTAATGTTTCATTTTCCTTGATGGTATGGAATTATTTTCATCATTTTGTTGAAGGAAAGTATTTTCCTCCATATAAAGGAATGTTTTCTCATTTAGCATTCACTTTCCCTTCTTAAAGTTGAACCAAACGCAGGAATTCGAGGGAATTGAAATCATTTCCCCTCGAATTCCAATCATTTTCTGCCAACCAAACGTGCTCTTAGGTTTTTAAGAAGGAAGTGGAAATGGTTTCAATAAACGGTAGAACCAATGTTTTAAAAACCGGTTTTTTAGTTGAACCGGACGGTGATCGGTTCCCGGTTCCCGGTTCAACTGGTTTAACCGGTTCGACTGTCGGTTCAACCGGTTTCTATAATTTTCATCTTTTTTTTTCTACTGTCCTACATACACATATATATTCACAAGTTTAAACATTAAAAATACTCATAAATACAAGTTCAAGATCAATCCAAATACATTAAAAACACATAACCATAAGTTTTACATCAATTTACATGCATCAAAAATAAAACAAAGTATAATAGGAAAACAAAATATAGTTTTAGACGAATACAAACACATTAAAAAGCTTGATAACACTTATCATGTGTTTTTATTCAAAGAAATCTAAACATATGTGAAAAAAAATGAAAGTTTGTTGTAAAAATGATTTATTTCCATGTGTTCTTATTTAATTTAACCGGTTCAACCGGTTTATTTTAACCGGTTCAACCGGATTTTTGTAAAAACCGGCCGGTTAATTCAAATTCAGAAATAAACATAAAACCGGTGCTAGTTAAACCGTTATTTTCTCCGGTTCTCGGTCCAACCGGTTCGACCGGCCGGTTCAAACCGGTTTTTAAAAGATCGGGTAAAACCCAATAAGGGTAAAGGGGCAAGTAATATTGTTCGGTCAAACAACAAAGACCTTGATAATAAAAATAAGGGGTTTTGCCACAAAATCTAGACCCGGCAAAAATCGATCCAATTCATCAATTCAGTCTGAACCCAACCCAAAATTAGTAGCTTGAGTTGAGATTTT